CGTTTTCTATCGCAGCGGCCCAGGTTTGTTAAAGGGCTGTGGTCAAGATAAACGCTTTTTGGCCTCGGGATTCTTGATGCGACAGCGGTTCATTGCCTCAGAACATTGTTTCAGCATTTTGAGTGAGCATCCAGCATAGTGTCGGCTTTGTGCCCTCTGGGCGCCGCAGCCCATTTGCTTCGTGTTCAAAGCACCCTCAGCCTGTCAAGCACTTCAGGCGGCTGTTGCTGAGTTTGTCTGTGTGGGTGTTTTGGAGCATTGGTGGTACGGTGCATTTGGGAGCAGATGCCTTGGCCCTTGGTGATTCTCGCCGGCCCTGAAGTTAAAGCACCCTAGACTAGAATGGTCGAACGGTCTTTAAGGGTTGCCCCCTCAAGTGGCTTGTAACCGCAATCAGGACACCGGCTACCCCAACCAGTGGCGCAAAACCGCAAAACGAGTCATAGATTCATACATGCTTAGACCCACAGACTCAAACAACTGGTCGGTTCACCTAGATACACTTATAAAGGCTTAAGACTTTGGAGCGCTTTTTGAGCCACTGAGGAGCTTGAAAGCGTCGCTGCGCACATGGCCTCGGCAACATCAATGCCGGCAGCTGATGTCGAACGCAAGCAGGCGTTGGAGCGACGGACCGTTTGCCACGATACGAGCGAGGCGCATCAACGCGCGTCGCTGAAAGACGGGGTGGCACAGGCAAGGCTACTAAAGTTCCCGCGGCTAGTTGTGCAACTTATAAGTACTGTGATAAGTTCCGTAACATCTGTTTTTTTCAGTCCCGTAACTGCTCTTACAAGTAACATCACTACAAATCCCCGTAACTGCCAGTTACGGTACTTAGGGGGTCTACATGTGTTATTGATCTTAAAACATAGTTATGCTAGCTATTGCTACTTATGGGAAAAGGCTGATTGTTAGTTGTTTTTGTGTGTAAAAACATGATGCTTAATAACATACATAGCGCTTGTAATGTGTTTAATGTGTTTTTCGTTTTTTTGTGTTTGCCAAGTCGGCCATGGAAAACGCATGATGCAGTTCTAAGACTGCACTAAATGAATTTGCGCACGCAAAGGTACGCAATTCCAACGTGGCTGGGCGGCCCTTGCGTTGTCTTGCTGCAACGGTGTGCCTGGGGCAGGTCTTTTTTGACGCCCCCGTTGCTTTTCTTGAGAAAACATGCATAAATGTAACATTTTTCGCTGGTGACGCCGATGCTCGAAATGCCTTCAACTTGTTGTTGGGCTCTGGGCAGCGCTGTCCACAGCCATGCTTACCAGGCGACATGGGCAGGCCCAGCAAACATTAGGTGAGATAGACCTGTTGCAGCCTGGGCGCCTTATCATGTAAGCTCAGGAATATGTTTGAAACTGGTGTGGGACAGGTTGTGAAATGGGTATAAAATTGAAATAAATTTGGGGGGTGTGAAATTGAAAAAATTACCGGCCATGCCGTCGGGATTTGCCAGGTTTGCAAATTTCATGCCAGTGTCATACAACTTGGCCACTGCTTCACAAGTTCTACACACATTTTATGGGGCGCTACGCCCAAGCGGCGCCTTGTCCCGGTTGTCGCAAAAGCGGTGACTTTTCCCGGTTTTTTCATTTACTTCCACACTTCCACACCTCCACACTTCCAGATTTCCACACTACCACACTTCCATATTTCGCTTCCACACTTCCACACTTCCACACTTGCACACTTTCACCGTTGTACTTGCTTCCACACTTCCATACTTCCACAATTCCAGCCTTCCACACTTCCACACTTCCACACTTACACGCTTTCACCATTGTATTCACTTCCACACTTCCACACTTCCACACTTCCACACTTCCACACTTCCACACTTACATTTACTTCCACCCTTCCATTCTTCCGCACTTCAACGCATCACGCTTCCGTACTTCCACACTTCCACAGTTCCACACTTTCACAGTTCCACACTTGTATTTACTTCCACACTTCCACACTGCCAACTTCTTCCACCGTGCAAGTGGAAGCATACCAAACGTGGACATGTGGACATGTGGATTTGTGGATTTTTAGTAGTGTGGAAATGCGGCTGTGGCGAGTGTGGATGCGTGTAAGTGTCGAAGTGTGGACGTATGGACGTGTGGACAGATGGAATGAAAGTGCCTAAGCGCGCGAATGTGGAAACGTGCAAGTCTGGAAGTGTGGCAGCACAGGCCTGGCTTAAGGTAGTTTAAGGTTGTCTGATGTGGTTTAGCGCTGGTTAAGAGTTGATTTGGGGTTGGGTTGGTTTAGTGTTGGTTTAGGGTTGGCTTGGGGTTAGTTTGAGGTTTGGTTTAGGGCGGGTTTAGGGTTGGTGTGGGGCTGGTTTAAGGTTGCCTTAGGGTGGTTTCGGATTGGTTTAGGCTGGTTTAGTGTTGGTTTGGTTTACGGTTGGTTTAGGGTTGGTTTAGGGCTGGTTTGGGGTTGGTTTGGGGTTGGTTTAAGGTTGGGCTGGGTTGAAGTTGGTTTAGGGTTGCTTTAAAGTTGGTTTAGGGTTGGTTTCGGGCTGGTTCAGGGTTGGTCAGGGCTGGTCTTGGGGTTGGCTCAGGGTTGGTTAGGGGTTGGTGTAAGGTTGGTTTAGGGCTGGGTTGAAGTTGGTTTAGGGTTGCTTTAAAGGGTTGGTTTCGGGCTAGTTCAGGGTTGGTTCAGGGCTGGTCTTGGGGTTGGTTCAGGGTTGGTTTAGGGTTGGCTTAGGGTGGTTTGGGGTTGGTTTAGGCTTGGCTTAGGGTTTGGTTTAAAAGCTGGTTTAGGGCGGGACCGACTGACCGACCGACTGGCCGACCGGGGTGGCTGAGAGACCAACCGACCGAGCCAAAACCCCAGCACCACGCAGCAAAACGGCCGCGCCATACCTAGGGGAAAAGAAGAAGCAAAACGGCCGCGCCATACCTAGACAAAACAAAAACGCGGGCCCGCTTCCACACTTCGACAAAAGCGTGACACCTGCCGTGTCTGCGGAGGTGTGGCCTGTCGCCGAAACAGACCTTTCGATGACCGCGCTACACATTGGTGGAACAAAGTTGAGGGATATTTTCCACGTTTACATGCTTCCACGTGTGGAAGTGCGGAGGTGTGGGAGTGTCCGAGTGTGGAAGTGTGGAAGTGTGGAATTGTGTGAATGTGGAAATGTGGAAGCGTGGAAGTGTGGAAGTGTGGAAGCGTGGAAGTGTGGAAGTGTGGAAGCGTGGAAGTGTGGAAGTGTGGAAGTGTGGAAGTGTGGAAGCGTGGAAGTGTGGAAGTGTGGAAGCGTGGAAGTGTGGAAGTGTGGAAGCGTGGAAGTGTGGAAGTGTGTAATTGTGTAAGTGTGTAAGTGTGTACGTGTGTACGTGTGGAAGTGTGGAAATGTGGAAGTGTGGAGATGTGAAAGTGTGGAAATTTGCAAGTGTGTAAGTGTGGAAGTGTGGAAAGTTGGAACTGTGGAACTGTGTATATAAATGTGGAAACGTGGAAGTGTGGAAGTCGATCCAAACAAAACCGGGAAAAGTCACCGCTTTTGCAAAAACCGGGACAAGGCACCGCTATGGTATGTGCCCCTTTTTTATGAGCCCTTTGGCTGGGGGATTTTGCAGGAAGAAGGCCACTGGCATACTTTCTTGTTTGCAGCGTGAGCCTGTCAGAGTATGTTCCATGGGCTCATGAAGCTTGAGAACGCAAGGCCAAACTTCTTGCAAGCTCGGTTGCTTTGGTGAAGATTCTGGAGAGAATTTCGCAGCTCTGAGCACTCTTGCAATTGAACTATGAGCGTGCGTTCACAGCATTCGGCTCTGATTGTGGTCTAGTGCTTCACCTCAGGCCAGACCAGTTTTTGACGTCGTCTTCAAACCTGCAGCAAGTTGAGCAAGGCCCCCCTTTAGTATGACACGCCGCCTCAACGATCTTATCCAGGAAGGGTTTTTCTGGGTGCACACGCAGGCTTATGCGCGGGAGATGGCCGTAGAGTCACCGTCTTCGACATGTCTTCACACCGCCCGGCGCCAGGTTCATCTACGGATGTTGGCAACGAAGCGGCTCTTGTCCAAATTGATAAGCGCGGGCATTGACAGGGAGAATGACATTGGTGAGGACAAGGACGTTGACAAGGACACGCAGGACATCGACAAGGGCGTGCAGTGAGGACACGCAGAACATTGGCAAGGACAAGCAGGCAGGTCACCACAGACGCGGCCGGCGCTGCAACCAGCAAGAAGCACGAGGTGTCCACCTTTTCCAAACGGAAGAAGAAATGAAGGAGGAGCAAGCGACTATGGAAGATTCTGCGATGATGAACCAACGCCTAGATCCTCGTTGCGCCAAGATCATTGGGGCTAGCAAGGGAACGTTGCAAGACCAATAGGACCGACGGAAGGGTCGAGGCTCGGCGTCGGGCAAATTATTTGCAAAGGGATGCCGGCACGCCGGGATTATGGCAATGCTCAGTCCGTGTGATAGGGGTAGTTGGTCGTGGCGCCGCAGTCGACTGTGTCCATGTTTGTTGAATTATTTTTTTACATGGGTTGAGGCGTGCTCCCTGTGCTGATTTTCTGGGATAAGTTCTCGAGCATTCCCGATGGATTGCAAATATGTCAAAAAGTTAGCACGCATTCTGCGAAGAATGGCATATGGCTCGAAGCCGACGCGGATCTACTGCTGGAATATTTTCTCCGGCTTTGCTTTTCTAGCTGGGTCACGACCCCGGTGCGTTGGAACTCAGATCTCTGGGATGTGTGAGAAGAGTTGATTTCCAGCAGTCGAGGCAGCCACAGGCATCTCAAGAATCACGGGAAGTGCAGCTAGCTGCCCCGGGAAGTGACATAACCAAAAAACTTAATCAGCCGAGGGAAATGGCCAAGGCTTCATTTTGGATCTAGCTTCTGTTTGAAGTACAGCGATAAACAAAGTTTTACACTCCAGTGATCGAAGAAAAGTCAAAACCCGTTTCAATCCGCAACAAATGAGACTTTTTCCGGCAGTAAGTGTCGCGATCTGCCTGTTCTCCTTTTCCCAGTTGAGCTCTCCGTGAACGAGCTACGCACGCGTGCGCTCTCGGGAAGTTTCTTCCGTGGCAATCTGAAACGTGCACTGGGCGGCTCTCACCGGCTTCAACGGCAACTTTGCAGCACCTCAGCCCAAAGGCTTCACGGCTCAAAGCTCGTGATGACGCAACTGACTAACCATGTTTGGCGCTGCCAAAGTACTGTCCACTGATTCTTGACAGGTATTGACGCTCCGTGAAGCTGGCGGCCAGCCACAACAAGGTTGGGCCACTACAGCCAACCAGCCAGCCAGCCAGCAACCTAGCAACCCACTCCAGCAAGCGACGACCAACCAAATATGCCAAGATCGCACAAGGCGCAACAAACAGCACAAATTCCTACAAAAGATGTAGCCGCGCCATGCCGTGCCAGGGTGCGAAGTCTCTAATCTTCTGAGCCAGTGCCTTGGCCTCCGCCGGATTCTTTGGAAAGGGCCTGTGACCTCAGAGGGCGCTGTGGCCTGATTGCTTTGCCCATCCTGACAAGTAGCAAATGTGATAAATGTTCCACACATAGTGCAACAATACTTTGTCAGATCTCGAGACATTCAGTCAAACACGCGGCCATGTCTCTACAACTTTTTATGTTGCACCATCTCATCGCACCGGTGGCAAAGCGATCAGCTCTTGTTCCATCACCAAACCTCGTACACCTATTCTTTTCAGAAGCAAGCATGACAAGAGCCGTATCCATTGATGTCATGCGCAATTGCCTGCTGGGACTTGGCTGGCCGTGAAAAGAAGCTAGGTTGTTTGACTGCAGACTACCCCCTGGTGTAGTGACATTGTGGTTTATCCGCCTACATGCAGCATGCTGAGGCATGTCACGAGAATCAACGAAACTATTTAACGCCAGTAATATGACATAGTTGCGAGCGCCGGCGTATTCTGATTCAAGTACCCACTAGTCACACTACGCATCGTCACGAAGTTGTTATCGAGGCCTGCAGCCTCAAGGTGTGCACACATCCACTTGATGAAGCGTGACAGTGGTGCTTCAGCTTCATGCGTACGACATAACCAGTGCTTAGGCTAAGCGTGCGGATGCGAAGATCATATGAGACGAGCAACAAACAAAACGACTCGAGCCACACATACACTGAACATCTTCTCACAAGAAGTCCTCAGCCCCCTTTGGACCCACGCCATCGCTGTGGCTCAGCACGGCCTGAGCTGATTGGAAGGCTTGGACATAGATCGTGTCCTTTTTCTGGGTCACCGAATCCAGCGAGGGCCAAAAGACTGAATTTGGACGGCGCAGGACCCCGATGTAGGAATTGAATAGCACACCGAATTCAACCCGCCTCCAGTTCATGTTTTCGCGCAGCCCGTTGAAATCCATGCTCAAGTGAGATCCGACCCCGAGAGAAGTGTGGAGAGAAGGTGCCCCAGCTTTTTGCGGTGAGTTTCTCCCTAGCCAACTGTACCAAAAAGCTACTCTGAAGCTGCTTGTCAAGGCCAGTTGTTGGAAAAGAGGAGTCGCATTGGAGCGCAACATATGTCTGGCCAAATTGCCGGTTGTCTTCTCTTGCAAAACACGGAGCATTCACCCATTGGCCCAAGCCGCAAAAAACACGCCAGGCAGCTGGGTCCGCATAGCTTGATGCCACTTCGCTGCTGCCAGTGGCAGTCTCATCCAACTTGCCGGCTATGAGCAACGCAGGCACCGGTATCCTGGGCGACCAACAGGACAGGCCGCAGGATCGAGCGCAGGAACGCCGACAACTAAGCATTCAAGAACGCATGTGCGCAACATTATTCTTTGCATCAAAAAAATCGGGGGCTTGCTTTCTTGAAGAGTCGTGCTCCAACATGGCTCCCGCAATGCGCCAAAGCTCCCATTTTGACATTGGGCCAATGAACCGCTCTACTGTCAGTCCTTTTTGAGCTAACGTTGCGATCTGGCATCCGGAGCCTTCTGAAAGTGCACTTTGCGTAGTGCTTTCGTAGTTGCGATTTTAGAGCCGAATCCGAATCTGCGAAACTGTGCTTCGCGTGCTACTTTCGTGTTTGAAAGTTGCGGTTTTTCAGCCGGAGCCGTGAAAGTGCACTTTGCGAGTTCTTCGCGCTGCTGACTTACAAGCCGCGCGGACCAAGCAGCAGTCAAGCCCGGGCATGCAAGAGCAGGTGCGCAAACCGCGAGACAAAGATTTAAGGCCGCGTTCCGACTAGAAAAAAATTGACTAGCATTACATGCGACCGACCACGCCAATCCCGGGAGGGCCGTGCGGTCAAATAAGAACTTGTACAAGTCCTCAGTTTTTGCGCGTCGACCACGCCAATCCCAACAGGGTTGCTAGCGCGCCGCAGAAATCTCAAAAAGTCCTCAATTTTTGCAGATCGGCCACGCCAACCGCACAGGGTTCAGGCACCTCAGAAATCGTCAGCCGCACTAAACCTGGCAGAGCGTCGCGAAGTCCTCAGAGCCTCAGTCTTTGCGCATCGAGCACGCCAATCCGCGCAGAGGTCCGCGCAGGCACCTCAGTTAAGAACCTAACTAATTACTTTCGTGCCCACATGTCTCGTGCGAGTTTTCTCGTGCTATTTGGCTCGGGCAAGTTTGGTTGCGCGAGTTTTCTCCTGCGCAAGTTGGCTCGCGCGCAAGTTTGGCTGCGCGAGCTTTCTCATGCAAGTTGGCTCGCGCAAGTTTGGCTGCGCGAGTTTTCTCGCGCGCAAGTTGGCTCACGTTTGGCGGCGCAAAAAAAATCTCATGCAAGTTAGCTCATGCAAGTCACATCCTTCTTCTGAGCAAGCAGACTCTTGGCAGCATCATAGAGATTCATTCTGTCAGCAGCCTGGACATGCCCAGGCATGCTGCAGCTTCCATGTCCACGCAAGCCACAACATTGCCTTGTTACGCCGTGTTAACAACGGCCTGGTCAGAAGCTTCTTGCAAGCAAGGCCTCAGTCTTGCCAACGCATGACTGGGACATGGCGCTCAATGTGTCATAGTATCTTAACTGATCCTCATGCTTGCTGGCTTCTCGCACGTCTAGCTTCGAAAGCGCAAAATACCCACCAGCATGTAGAGGCAAACCGCGCGCTTGACACAGCGTACGCCGCTTCAAATACTGCGACACGCAGTCCAGCTCATGCCAGAATCATTGCGGGCAACCGGGCAACAAGGCCATGTTCTTGCCAATGCAAAGCCATACCAGACAGCTTGGCATCTTCTTTCAGACTCCAGCAGCACTGACATGCATGGGGTGCAGCGTAGGCGCTGGACCATCTCCAAGAACAGATTTCAGCTGGATCTGAATTCAGAACAGACACCTCCAGCGTCTCTTTCTTGCGCCATCTTTGCAAAGTCAGCTTTGGCCAGTTCCATTGCTTTTTTGCCAGGCGCATTATGCAAACAATCTGACTTGACCTGCGCGGTTTTCTCCTTCTTGTTTCTACGGTCTGCATCCAAAAGCGTATGCAATGAATCCTCAGCTGCCTGCCACACACTGCAGCACCAGCTCTCCCGTCCAGCATGCCCTTCGCATCGTCCAACCCAGCCAATGCTGTCAAATGGCGGCTTATGTGTCTTGGCGCCACTCTCAAGCCTCATGAAACTGCTGTGGCTATATCCACTGCGATCAGCACCTTGTTTTGGCCTGACACGGTGAGCTCGCCCGCTGATGTTCTTCTGGCTGCTTTGCAGGCATGGCTGGAACCTGTTTGTCAACCGCGTGCTACTGCGCATCTTTAAAACTTGGTCATCTTTTCTACACATGATGTAAGTGCTGCTCCGCAACAGTCACGATGGTAGAGTGACACAGGCAGCTGACGCCCTTGCTCTTGCATGCTCCAAGACATCAGCATGGAACGCATGTTGTCGGATGGTTGACTCATCACTTTGTAGCGCTGCAGTACGTGTGGGTGACGCTAAGTTTTCTCCATGGCTTTGATGTGCTCCTACAGGATTGCCCAGCCGAATGCACTCGCTGCAAATTCAAATGTTCATCAGTCGTTGTGTTGGACAGCCGGGCACGAGGCCCTAACATCACCAGGATGGTAATTAGACGGCCTTGTGGACGCACTTTCTCATCTGGCCAGCCGAAGGAAGCATGCGAGAAGATGGATGAATGCGCACTGGGGTTTTCAGATCAAGTGCTTATTTGGGTACAGAAAGCAGCCAGAAACAAGTTATGCGTATCATGAGACCTGCTGACGTCAGGTCCGAGCTGCGTGGAGAGCCCGAAGAAGTTGCAGGTGAGAAGGGGCCGTTGCATGAACGCAACTCAATGAAGGAAGCAATGAGGCAGCTGTGCTGCAAGATGGCGCAGCATTGCAAGGTGAGAAGAATGAGTGGAAGGTTGCTTTGTCGTCGGTGGGAAACTTTCCAGGAGGTTTTTGGCTTGGCGTCCATGCAATTACAAATCAAGTGACACGCGCCCATGAATTCCTGCAGCGCCTCATTTTTCCATATTGCGCAGCCTCTCGTGCAGAATTACACAGTTGCACGTCAGTGTGGTTCTATATCAACTGGCAAGCTTTTCATTGTTTCAACGCAGGCTGTCCTCTTTTGAGGCTTCCTGGTGGCTATGATGGACCGACATGCGCACCATTCTTAGCTGACAGCGTCAACTCACGCTTGCAATGAACTGCGTGTACGATAGCCAAGGGACATTTGCCAGGCAGCTCTTTGGTGTCTCATGAGGCATCGCAGCATCAAATTCAATTGCCCCGCCTGCCTCAGAATATTGAATCAGCAAGGAGCAGATTTGCACCCATTTCAGGGGAGAGCTCATTCTTGCTGGCAGTCTCATAATGGCAAGACCTCCGCATCCCACCTCATGAAGTAATGCTACCATTGGGGGGCACGCAAGCCTGATGGAAAAGTCACTCAATCTCAGTGGAAATGTTTTTGCGGGGGTAACAACAATACTGCTTTCATCCAACAAATTCCCTGGAAGCAAACGCACACATGGCAAGCTTCTTCTGAAGTACAAGACTTTGAGGGTGCGGGTGCTTTGGCAGGCGCATCAGGCTTGCGTAGATCTGGCAGGCCCCTGATTCAGAGATGAAAGAGTGTAGTGGAAGACCGGCGCTTCAGGAATACCCGTTTTGATGCAGCACTCAACCACTCCTATCTCACGGGACGGGTAGGAGGACAATCGGCGTATTTAGATCACTTCCAGACCAGATCCTGTGGGATCTCTGACATTAAACATTCTTGGATGTTCTGAATGATGTGAAAGAAGGCGACCTGCGAATCAGCGGCCACCAGCACAACAAACTGCTAAACGCATTGATTGCCACATTATCGCCCACAAACTGCTCGGACGGCAGGAGTGAACATTAGGTACGCAGCAGGCTTTTCAGCCCATACTACTTGGAGGGGAAAGCTTGAAAAGCCGATGCGTCGATAATTGTCTTCTCAAATCGCCCTCCACCCCCCCCCAAAGAGAAGCAGACAAGCATCTGCCACTCGAACAGCTCCGGAGTTTGCGCCACCCAGCCCGGCTTGGTGGTGCAGAAGTGTACCACGCAGTGAAGTGGGTGTCCTCTGCCTGGCAAGCGGTCCAAGCGGTCGAAGCAGTCCAAGCGGTCGCAGTCCACGCGTGCCGACCAAAGTCAAAACAAACTCCCGAAATGGCCGGTGAATAAGGGATGGATGGAGGGAGATGGGGAATGGGAATCAACTTGGTCCGGTTTTTGGAGACATGTATTAGAGAATCACGACACAGCTTTTGCAAAGATTATCTATAGTGCCCGTTGTGGGCTAAATTCAGAAAATGTGAAATCGGCTATGGCGTAATCCCGAGCAATCACTGGCTCAGCAGTGCTAAACCAAGCGTTCCGTATGTGGGAATTGATGGTAATGGTCAGTTGCCAGGCTGACTAGTTTAAAGTTAGGCGCTTTTGCACTCAACACGTCATGTGTGGAAAACAGCGTGTACAACAAATGAAATAGCTCTCTCTCTCTCTCTCTCTGTTTCTCTCTCTCTCTCTCTCTCCCTCCCTCCTCTCTCTCTCTCTCTCTCTCTCTCTCTCTCTCTGTTTCTCTCTTTCTCTCTCCCTCCTTCCCCCCCTCTCTCTCTCTCTCTCTCTCTCTCTCTCTCTCTCTCTCTCTCTCTCTCTCTCTCTCTCTCTCTCTCTCTCTCTCTCTCTCTCTCTCCCCCTCTCTCTCCCCCTCTCTCTCTTGTCTTCGTCGCATCTGTGCGCTGCCCCGCTTCCACGCTTCCATGATCCGAGGCTCCGAGCGCTGCTTGTGCTGCTAAGGGATGTGCCAAATTGCTGCCCTGGCTGAAGCCCAGAAGCCTCAGGCATGAAGAAACATATTTTTGTTTGCTAGTATTTTCGTATGTATGATAGGCGTGAACAACAAAGAGCTATTCGAGAAACGCCAACGCAATCGGACTTCACAGTCTTCTCACTTTTAAACAAGAAATCGTAATGAAAGCAAACCAAACTGCCTGGCTCATGGCGAGTTAACAGCTAATCAACCACCAATCACTAATCCAAAAAAATCAACCATATTGCCGTGACGCACATCCGGCTGCAACTTGTTCATGGCCTCCTGTGCAAAGCGCAGCGCCTGCTCCCATCCCTCGTACCTCGTTGAACCGACGGCCCAAGGTGAGAGCCAAGTTCCTGGCTTACACCTGCACACTCGCTGACAAGCATGGGGTTGTTCTAAGGAACTTTAAACAGTCCATGTCTGACTCTTGCTCTCAGCAAGCGAAGGCCAAAGACTGCTTCGCTGGTAGCCTGCGGTAGTTCTGAACTGCTACTGTAGCGGTACAAAACGGCGAGCCGCAAGTTCTTTTCCGGAGCAAACTATTAGCAGCGAGCGACCAATGCCATTTGCCTGCAACCCGGCTCTATGTTTAGAAGGGTGTGCCTCTTAAGCAACGAACTGGCAGTTTCAAGTTTGCTAAGCGCCTTTGCAAGAACCCAAGCCTGGGAAACTGTCTGTGATATCCAACCCACACAATCCTTGCCGTGCAGCCGTCGCCAGCCTCCGTCTTCACCAGAAGGCTCAGCCCATTGCTTGAACCTAAGCAGTGGCTGTCAATCGTTGGAGAAAGTGCTGCGAGGCATTCAACATGAGAAGTAGCGCCCTTTCCGTTTGACAAATATCATCGGGCTTTCCTTTTCTCGCTGGGTATTGGCTTGCTTCGGCAACATTGCTTCTCTCTCCCTCCCTTTCTCTCTGTGTGTCTCTCTCTCCTTTTTCTATATACTGAGGGGAGTTTTGCAACCTTGTAGTTGCCAACAGCGCTGCCAGGCACCTGGCAGTTGTTCAGTGCTTACCATGGTTTTCAGCAAAGAAGGGGGACTGGGGGGTGCCGGGGTGGGGGGGGGATGGGATAGCAAACGTTGCTGGTGCGAAAAGCTAAGCTTCGTTGCAGCATGATGAGCGCGCGTGCGCATTCACACACACACAGACATACAGGCACACAAACACACAGACACACAGACACACAGACATGCAAACACACACCCGCAGACCGACACCCTGAACAGGGTGGCACTCAATGCCTCGACGCTGACTGGAAGATGGTTGAAAACGTTTCTCCCAAGCCAGCTGAAACGAAAGTCTCGCCGTGGTGTGTATGGTAAGATGAACTCGCGCTTGCGCCAAAGGTGCTATCAGTGGGTGTTCTGGAGGCCCAGAAAGAGCCCCAAACCGCATTCGCCTTTGCAAAGGCTATCCGAAACTTTTGCCAACTAAGACACACTTGCCGCCTTGAAATGTGATGAATAAAAGTAGTTTTTGCCGAAGCCACTTTTGCCAATATTGCATGAGGCCAGCAGTTACAAAGGGAATTATGTCAATGCCAGCGAAACGCACCAGGCGCACTACGTCCTCTACTGCGAAGCACAACGTAGACTTTCTGATGGACAAGCATACTCGAATCACAGCGTAGTGTTTTGGACAAACGCCAGCCAGAGCTTTATCACTCCAGGATGCAGCAGTGCTATGCGGTGTGTGTGTGTATGCGTGTGTTGCTGGTGCGTTGGCAGAACCCCAGCTTTCTCCTCGCAACCCTCCTTCACAAAAATCCTGACGGATATGGCCTTGCCAGGTCAGAGCGGAGGGGCTTCTCGCCGGGGAAGTACTGCGTCATAAGCTCTATCTGCTTTGCCACTATGGGATTTTTTGGGTCGCAGTCAATGCAGCCATCTTGGAAGAGGAACTCGATGTCATCCTTGGTGGTGTGGACGGACCAGAATGCAACATGGGACCGTCAGAAGGCGTGTGAATACATTGCGCAACACATTCACCGTGTTGGCCTGTCTCTGGCATATTCAAGCCTAGTGACCCCTGCAAGCTTCAGAAGGGGCATCAGCTGCGCCCTTCGCAGGTGCGGTGAACTGTGACTGTGTGTACCAAGCTTTGTTGCACAAGGCCAATGCCACGCAGCCTATTGCCAAACTCATTGATGCACAAGGTGTCTTTCGCTGCCTTCCTCATGCTACGCAGCTTCTCTGAGACGTTGGGGCAACCCATTGGCTACAAGTGGGACGTCGGTTCGGCTGAGATTGCCCGTGCCTCAAGACTTTCTCAGTGGCCGCGGTGCCATGCAAGCACAGCGCACCTTTGTGCAGGAGCTTAAGCGCACCCCTCAAGCCCGCTTTGCTTCACTGCTGCCAAACCAGCGGGTGCAAATGGGGGTCTCTGAAAATAGCGTTCCCCTTTTTGATTCTACTTTAAACAGTTTTTGAGAAACACTCAGCTGCCTTCACGTGTCGCGAGCGACTTTCGACGAGCCGCGTGGCTTCCTGCCCTCCACCTTGGCCGGCGGCGCAACAAAGACCTTGGCTTCGCGGCCCGGGACGGCCTGGCGTGCGCCAACATTCGGGAGCTCACTGTCAAGCAAAGCACTGGCGCGCTAAAATTCTTGAATCGAGTGTACCCTGCGCAGCAACAACAATTGAAATACCCTGGAACGGAAATGGTAAAAGACTCTGATTGCAAGGCAGGTGCTGCTTGTTGCCCAAACACTTTAGTGTGAGACCTTGATTCCTTCAAAGTCCACCGAAACCAATGCTGGGACCAGGGAGAAGTTTGATTCTCTCGATGAGAAAATCATAGCGACGACGTTTGGGGATGGGACCTTAGAGCTTTGCGGTCCTCACCTTTTGCGCTGAGATCTGGATGAGGAGGTCTTACTGCGCGAGGAATAGATATGTATATATGTGTATTCCCTGAGCAGTGTGCCTACACACAGGGGTTCTTACGGTAAGAGTACAGGGCTGGTGTTATATTGGGGCGCTGGATCTGTTCTGGACGATTGCGCAGGCTCGTGCAATGTGGGTGGCCGAGATCTGGCCGGCGCTTTTCGGCTGCGCAGTCTCGCGCAAAGTGGTGGGCTGGCTGGGCTCGTGCCTTTCGACTGTGCGCTCTCGCTGTGGCGTCGCGTCGAACTCTTAGCCTCGAAACCAACCCTCTGCGGACTTTGCGCGGTTCGGATCGCTCTCGCTGCGGCGCGGGGCATATCTTTGACATCGAAGCTGAACCCTCTGCGGACTTTGCGCTGGTCGGATAGCTGTTGTTGTTGTTGTTGTTGTTGTTGTTGTTGTTGCGGCGCGGTGCAAATTACAAACGTCGAAGTGCAGGACATGCAAAGACACTCTTGCGAGAGACCTTGTGGATCCTGACAGGGGCCTTCAATTTCAAGAGGACCCTGTCACGCCAGAAGGTTCTACCAAGACATCCTGTCCAGAGATCATGCGCGCAGAACTTGCCAAGACATTGTTCAAGAGATGCGGCGCCGCGATCCTGCCAATCCCCTGCCCAAGATTGTTGAGATGGTCCTTAAAGAGCTCTTGCGCAGGACCTGGAAGATTTGATCTTGCACAAACACATTGCGAACAAATAATCCTCTCACGGGTGTTCGCCAAGAGACCCTACCCAGACATCTTGCTCAGAGATCCTGCAAAGATTCTGAAAAGAGCCCCCTGCTCGTAGAGGGTTCTACAAGCAATCCTGGCATCCTGTGAAGGTCCTCCTCGCAAAATCTTCAACCGGCTGTGGTCTTGCGCGGCATCTGCAAAGATTTCTTTGCGAGAGACCCAGAATGCTCCCTACAGATCTTGAACAGAACACTTGTAGAGGGTATCCTAGGAGGAGACCCTGCGCAGAGATGCTGCAAAAATCCGCCACTGGTCTTGCATGGAGATCCACAAATAGGTCTTGTGCATTGCGCAGGACATGGTTTCATGCCGAGACACTTAGAGGATGCTAGGGCGCTCTCTACAGGTCCTGAAGAGAGAGCTTGTAGAGGGCTCTGTCAGAGATCCAGCGAGCGGGTCTTGTCAAGAGACCCTACCAAGAGACCCAATCCACAGATCCTGCAAAGATTCTTGCACAGAGATCTTGCCCAGGAATTTACAGAAAGTTGCTCTTGCAATCTCATTCCATGTTACATGCGACGTCGCCTGTTGTATGTTTAAGATATCATTCGCCGGTGTCATAACTCTTGAATGCATCGCGAAGGGTTGCTTGGAAAAACGGCTTGGCGGCTACACAGCTGACTTATGCAGCGTGCCTGGCACAGCCTGACTTGCGCAGCCTAGCTTACGCAGCCTGACTTACTCAAACTGACTTACACAGCCTGACTTACGCTGCCTAGCTAACGCAGCGTGACTTACGCAGCATGACTTACGCAGCCTAGCTTACACAGCCTGGCATACTCAATCTCACTTACGCAGCCTGACCTACGCAGCCTGATTTACGCAGCGTGACTTACGCAGCCTGACTTACGCAGCCTGACTTACGCAGCCTAGCGTACGCGGCCTGACATGCGCAGCCTAGCTTACGCAGAATGAGTTACGCAGTCTGACTTACGCAGCCTCACTTCGCAGCCTAGCTCGCGCAGTCGAAGATCGCAGCGTTTAATGTAGTTTTCTTTCTCAGCCGGGGGTGGGTCTGGCGGGCGCTGGGAGGATGAACCCTCTGCGGGATCGTGCGTGTCGAATCGCTCTCGCTGTTTCGCCGTGCGAATTTTCAACGTCGCCGACGAACCCTCTGCGGAGATTGCGCGCGTCGAATCGCTCTTGCTGTGGCGCCGTGCGAACGTCAAAGCTCGCCGATGAACCCTCTGCAAAAATCGCGCGCGTCGAATCGCTCTTGCTGTGGCGCCGCGCCAATGTCAAAGCTCGCCGACGAACTCTGCGGAGATTGCGCTTGTCGAGTCGCTCTCGCTGCGGGGCCGTGCGAATTTTCTACGTCGCCGACGAACCCTCTGCGGAGATTACGCGTGTCGGATCGCCCTCGCTGTGGTTTGCGTAAAGTTTGGGTACAAATGTAGTACACAAAGCAGGCTCCCGCAGCTCCGGCCTGAGAATCGCAAGTCTTAAGTAGAAAAGTAGCACACGAAGCACGCTCCGGCCTGAGAATTGCGAGAAAGAGAGAAAAGAGAGAGAGAGAGAGAGAGAGAGAGAGAGAGACAGAGACAGAGACAGAGACAGAGACAGAGAAAGAGAAAGAGAAAGAGAGAAGAAAGAGACAGAGAAAAGGAAACATACAGAGAAAGAGACTGATAAAGAGAGAGAGAGAGAGAGGGAGAGAGAGACAGAGAGAAAGACATAAACGTCCCGGCGGACCGAGATCCGCGCTCGCGTTTTGACGCTTTTCTGAAAAACTTGCGTTCACCTCAGCGAAACGCACATTGCGTCCCCAGAAAACCTCCCGAAAAGATGGCTCAGTTTCAGAGGCATTTTGCGTTTCAAGTTGTATCACCCATTCCCTGCCTTCTCCTCTTTCACGTCTTTGCAATCGCTACGACAGTTTGCTGCTCCACATCTCACTGGCACAAGACATAGTGCCGCTGCCACGACTTTACATGCAAGCAGCCGAGCGGGTGCGGTTATCATGGTCAGGCGTGCGCGCAGTGTCGGGGCGAAGCAGTGCTTCCCGCGCGCTATGCAGAGTTGCAGGGAAAAAAGTGCACGCCGTTGAGCGCGGTTACTGGTCCGCTAGCATAAACATGGAACATGTTGCATTTGTCAAGCAAGGGCGAAGCGATTGTACAGCGGCGCGCGCGCGCAGCTCAGCGTTGAATTCTTGGGCTTGGTTGCGTGGTTTCACGTTCGCCGATGCTGCAACGCGATCGCTAGTGCTAGGAATGGGTTGCTTAGATGTTTGTTTGGCGTGTGTAAGTGTAGGTTTAAGTTGTTGAGTAGCGTAGTGCCTGGATACGTGGCACGACGCAGTGTGTACAAGCAACATCACAACTGTGTACATCGCAACATTCTTGCATCACATTTGTCACAACACACGCTTTTGTGTTATCAAGCCTAGGCCACCTAAGGGAATACCTAGGCAAGCAGCAAACCGTTGACTACCTTTTCACACTGCTGTCAGTGATCTTGAAGTCTGTAGCGGCGGAGCATGTACAAGTACACTCATGCACAGGGTTGGAACCTGAATCCACACCCCCCTCATTTGAGATTGAGCAACAACGAAAATGTCGGCAGGTTTTGCAACCCGCTTTGATTCCATACGCACATCCATTGCACGTTGAAAATGGACATTACACATCCGTCGTGCATGCAAATTGCTACTCTCTCAGAAGGGCTCCGTTGTGATGACGATTGCGTTCACCACCTTCCGCTAGTAGACCAGCCGCGCGAACTCCAGGTCGACCACTGCCAACTGCTCCAGTCCTGACTGCTCCAGTCCTGACTGCCCCAATCTCTCCAGCTTCGGCTTCTGGCAGCGGAGCTGGAGGCGGGCTGAGCAGGTTGCACAGGTCCGCGGGCGCGGTCCTCGGCGCTTTGCCTTTGGCTGCGCCGTGCGAGCTTCTTCGCATCGTCCTCTGCCTGGCAGCAAATCTCCGTGACTTCAGCTTCGAGGTCCTCGGCTCCGGTTGCCGTAGGGAACTTCCCGCCAAAGGTGACAAGATTGCGCATCCCCGGGAGGATGTTGACCTGGTCGACGAATTGATGAAGACTCAGCATTTTCCCGTTGTACGAGAATAGCCATGGAAACGTAAGCAGGCTGGCGTCATAGTCCCCGACCTTGCCGCCGGTGACGTAGACAGTCCTCACATACTGGAGACCTCGTTTTCCATAGCGTGGCCCAACCCCGAGAAGTCGTTGATCGTAACTCCGTGGAAATTCGGGGAGGACACAAAACCTATAGATAGACATTTGGTAGAGGCTGTCGCGATTGTGCCCTTGCTCCACCATACGAAGGGCAAAGGTCGCATCTTTGTCAAACCGATCCACCACATTGTCGTATCCAAGCTTGCGGGCCCTGCTATCGTAGTTCTTTGAAGCCTCAATCTGCTTGGCTTCGAAGGATGTTGCTCCTCTCTTCGCAACATCAGCATAGCCCTTGAAATCATTGATGAGGAGCTGATCAACCGTCTTGCCAACGCGGTGACTCACCTCCTCAAGCATCTGCGTTCTCCGCTTTGCGGCCCTGAAGAGCTGAACGTCATTGTTTTCCTTAGTGCTCCGTCCGCAACGCTGGCACTTAGGCTGCCCCTGCATCATGTCCTCGCCGCAGAGGCTGCAGTCCGTGTAGTGGACGGGCATTGCGAAGGTCTTGAACCTGACGACTGAGGTGTCGGCCGCGGGTTGCCCCGGGCGAGAGGCGGCCGTGTCCTCATTCGTCTGCTCTTCTTCAGGATTTGTGGCCCTGTTTCCCTCCGCATCGGTCTGAAAGGCCTCGTCTGCAGTCACAGTGACGGCTCGCCTTGCGGCGAGCGTGTCGAGAGTCGTTTGATTCTCCAATGCCTCAAGACGAAGGGCGTTTCTCCAAAGCACTTCACCTGTCTTCGCATCTGTGTAGTACAGAATGGAGTCATTGGGAACGATGTCGGCGGTCAGC